ATTTTCAAAGCGATGCCAAGTGGAGGCAGCCGCACTTTGTGCAGGCATGTCGAAGGACAACGTCGACATCCAGCAACAATAACTTCATTATCCTAAAATAGACCACAAAGAGTTGTTGCTCTTATCAGGCAGCATCAATAAGTCCTTGTTGTGTCGTTTTTTGTCGACCATCCTATGCCAACAAAGAGCTGATGGAAGGAGGGAAAGTTTGAAAAAGGGAGGGTGGGCATGAGTGGAAAGTTAATGAAAGTACGGAAGTTCAAAGTATTTGCAATGAACGCGCTTAGCAGCAAAACGACTACATATTTGATGTGCACATGTATGCATAGGTCTCACATCAAGTCCGAGGCCCCTTAATCCAAAAAACCGAATAAATATAATTAACACAATCGCCGGACTGGGATCACTTTCAGAGGGATGGCCGCATGAGTCGATTGAATGTTAAGAATTGACGTTCAGTAAATACGTAAAAGTATCTGGATTCAAACGTGTTCAACTCTACTCTGCAAATACGACTGATAAAGGCTGAAGAATGGAGTTAACGTTTTAAAAATCAATAAAGTGGGTGGAATCGTTTTATGAGGGCCATACCAAAACGGGGACACTTTTCTACTGCAAGCATTGTTATCTTGATACCAAGAAAAATCCTTTATCGTAATAAAATTTGTACATTCTTGCAGGTTCTGGAAGAGAGTAATTGACAGAACTGCAGCATTTTTTGTATGTTTTTTTTATAGATTGCCCTGGAGATTTGGACCTTGCGTATTTAAATAATATGTGTGTTTGCATACCTTGAAAAAAATGTTCATATGATTGAAAAAAAAAAAAAAAACGCACAAACACTTCTAAATTTGACATGATAATACTAATAACAAGCACAAAAGCAACTAAATTCGACCGTGTACATCTTTTAATACCCTCCGCCATTTGAAAGGAACTTGCAAAATGTAAAAAAAGATCCGTTGAACAATGTCGTTATAATTTTACCAAAGCTGGGACTTATGTGTCCAGCCAATCTATAGGAAATTCGGTTTGAAATTGTGTCTAAAACACCCCAAAAAAACATACATTTGTCGGAACAGTTATATGGGGCCTACATCAAAACGCCAACACCAAAATTCCTGCACTCATAAAGCATATTGAGTAAAATTATATCAACATACTTCATTTCGTTCGGAAACTATATTGATTTCCACAGACGGACGAATGCCTATGGTAGTGAGTATACAAATGAGATTTGATTGATGGATATGGCCTTCCAAATATGAAAACAATTTGATTTTATTTAACTTTTTAGCGACAATTGATATTGTTAATTAATTGAGTGTTTCCCTTCAACAACAAAATAAAAAACATTGCCATTCTATAACAGTAAATCCGTTTCAGGACATTTGGAGTCGATCTAAGGGTGTCCGTTCGTCTGTCTGTCTGACTGGCTGGCTGGAGCTCACGATAACTCTCCGATTTGCCCCAAACTTGGCACATAGTCTTATTATTATCAAACTTAGATCGAGTTCGGAGATGGGCTCCACTCCTTTTGGTACCTCCCCCACAAAAGGATAACATTTGCACAGAAAATAATTTACCGCATATAACAAGAAAGGATCATCCACTTTTTGCAAACTTCGCAGATCCCACTATTTCTATCAGTGCCAGGAATCTGGACAATATAGGTCCACTCCATCTACTACCTCCCCCAAAAAGGTGTGAGGTAAAAGCCGGTGTGTCAGATTTTCTTCATATTTCATACTTCTATTAACCCAAGATCTGGTGTGAAGATGGAATATATCGATCCACTCATATTGGTACCTCTTCCAAAAGTGGTGAAATTATTGAATGATCACGAAACTCATAAAACGTGAAATAAGCATTTATTTGTCTTCAAATTTCATACTTAGAGTATAAGGATGTAAGATATCGACGCACTACTAATTGCAAGAATCTACAACGTTAGCAGTTTTTTCGATGTCATAAAGAGATGTAGTAAAAATTTTATATTCTCGCTGTCCTGGAACAGGTCAACGTTGTAATATTTATTTTAGACTTAAACCATGAGTCCTTCTTCGAAACCATCCTCACAGAGGATCAATAATCATAGCGCAAGTCAACGAGGATTGGCTGAGGGTATATATCTGTCGACAAAACCGACTGATACTATTTAACCTGTTTCTATTATAACCGATTTTGCCTTTACGATATCGAAAAAAAAAATAAAACAAGACAATAATTGCAAAAATAATCGATAAAATATATAGAAATAATTATTTATAATTATTTATCAAAATACCGAATATCGGGGGTACCGTTATATGGGGGATGTACGATATCGTGGACCTGTGTAGACAATTCTCTCTCAGGAGTTAAAGTACTCGCAAGGAACTACTTGTGTGGATTTTAAGACAATTTCATTGAAAATGTGGCTAACATTTTCAAAATTCCGAATATCGGGGGATACAGTTATATAAGGGGGATATACGATATCGTGGACCTATATAAACAATTCTTTTTGAGGGGCTAAAATGCTCACAAGGGACTCCTTTTGTGGAATTTCAGGCAATTCCATTGAAAAATGTGGCTAAAAATCATCAAAATGCCGAATATCGGGTGGTACCGTTATATGGGGGCTATACGATATTGTAGACCTATATAGATAATTCTCTGCCGAGGTATAAAGTACCCACAAGGAACTACTTGTGTGGATTTTCAGACAATTCTATTGAAAAATGTGGCTAACATCATCATAATACCGAATATCGGGGGTACCGTTATATGGGGGCTATACGATATCGTGGACCGATATAGCCCATTTTCGAACTTGACCTGCCTGCAGACAAAAGAGAGGTCTGTGCAAAATTTTTGCTTCCTATCTTAATTCGTTTAGACTCTAGCGTGATTAAAACAGACGGACAGACGAACGGACGGACAGACGGATATATATATATATATATATATATATATATATATATATATATATATATATATATATATATATATATATATATATATATATATATATATATATATATATATATATATATATATATATATATATATATATATATATATATATATATATATATATATATATATATATATATATATATATATATATATATATATATATATATATATATATATATATATATATATATATATATATATATATATATATATATATATCACCGTAAAATTCTAAGATGATCTAGCGATGTCCGTCTGTCTATCTGTTGTAATCACGCTATCTTTCGAACGAATTGAGATAGAAGGCTAGAATATTGCATACATGCATAGTTTACCAGTAGAGGCAGGTTAAGTTCGTAAATGGGCTATGTCGGTCCATGATTTCGTATAGCCCCCATATTTTTCATGATTTTAGCGACAGTATTATTATCGTATTTGAAGTTCGTAGTGTGTATGCAGGTCCACGTCTTCGTAAACGTCCCATATTACGGTTGCTCCCGATATTCGGTATTTTGATGATTTCAGCAACATTATTCAAAGTGGTGGAGGGTATTAAATGTCCGGCCCGGACGAACTTAGCTGCTTTTGGACTTGTTTCTTGATTATTTTTGTGCTTGTAAGCCTGCAAATGTTTAAAATGAAATATAAGACCTCTGCAAGTATTACCTGATGCATACATTGAATATATGTTAAAAGTTTGATGTCATGTGTGCCTTTGATTATCTAGAAGATAGGGACCTTGGGAGGAGGGTATTAGGAAGGCCTATAAAACTATTGGGCACTGTAGAGTAATGAACGTTGTTAAGTTCACAAGGCTTTTCAAATCTGTACCGTTGCCAACATTTCACTTTAAAAATGTATACTTTCCAAAATCCCAAATATGCAGGTCCACGTCTTCGTAAAGGTCCCATATAACGGCAGCTCCCGATATTCGATATTTTGATGATTTCAGCAACATTATTCACCGGAGGAGAGTATTTTCGCACCGTACGTAGGGTATTAGGAAGGCCTGTAAAACTATTGGGCACTGTAGAGTAAGCAATATGCATGGTACGATGAAGAGAAGGTAGGTCAACTTTGAAGAAATTGCAAGTATAGAGGACTACCTGTTTGGCTTGTAATGTCAGAAATAGTATCAAAACAATAACAAAATCAAACAACTTGTTGCATTTATTTTGAATAAATAATTGAAAACCGCGAAAACTGAGTGAAAGGTCAACACTTCTTTTCAAACCCAGGTTCTATATATCTCTAAAGGATTATTTCGCTACAAAAACTCTAGATTTTGTCGATGCATATGATGAAATAAACATTTTGAAAACATCCGAATTTGAATGTTTTCCTAACAATTTTTTTGTTTTTGAAAAGAAAACACATACATAAACAAATAAAGATGACATATTAAGCCAAGAAAATAAAAAAGTTTAAATCATATGGTATCATAGCCCTACCTTGATATCATTGTACCATGGCAATATGTAAATCAAGTCTGTACCGTTGCCAACATTTCACTTTAAAAATGCATACTTTGCAAAATCCCAAATAATTTCCTATACTATTGAAAACGATACAATAATATACAAAAACATTACGTTCCGGATTAAATGGAATTGTAAAAACTTAGCGCTTCCTTTATGAGGCATTACTTGAGGTATATGAAGTGGAATCGGCAATTAAAATCCTATGGTAAATCCGGTAAACTGTAAACGTACTATAAGCCTTCATTAAATCTCGATAGAGTGACAAGTCCATTATTAATTAATGGGTAACTATGTAACACATTTACAAATAAACATTTGTTTTATTCTTTTCTTTGAATTCACGGCGTTCTTTTCTTGGAAATTAAGATTTGACTCTTTTTGGCACCGCTTACATTTAAATCCGCCATTTGTGTCCACTAGGATAATGTTTGCTTAAAAGCTTTATTTCAGAATAAACCTACCTTGAATTATAGGAAAGAAAACTTTCCCTGTAACAGTATGCCTGTTATTAATCGGCTTCCCTAAAAATAAATACATATACAAACACACATACACACATCTGTTTGAATCTTAGCATTCATTCGTTCCACACATCGTTTTATTAAATAGGTCGAGAGCGTGTACACTATTCTTTGATTCAAGGAGAGTGGCAATAAATCAAGTTGTAAAGCTACCAGGCTGAAAAACGCTTCATTGAGAAAACATATTTATGTAGATTACCTTCCCGACAGAAAGCACAAGGCAGGACGAGAGATTTCAATGAATATTTAATGCATTCTTCTCACTCATTGTGTTGTTCTAAAAGTCATTGAATGGCAGGCTTTCGAAAAGTTTGCCATTCTTGTATTCCGTTTGTGAATTTTGAAATGGAGCAGCGTTCTACTTGGCGAGAATAATAAAACACCGAATTCCTTCGCTGAAAATGAAATGGGTGCGAACATTATTATTCGATTAATATGTTTACGAGCATCAATAACCTTCAAAAGAGCTTGCCTGCCCCGTCAAGTGTTTTGAATGAATTTGGGTCGGCATCGACAGGAGAATTTTCACAAGACAACACATACACACTCCATGCAAACATTTGTTATCTGTAAGGCGTTCTTTGGACTGAAACTGATATTTCACTTTCGCTATAGATGAATATAACGTGTTTACGATGTAATGCGAACTTTTGACTTAAAAATATTTTCAGGGTTGCCAAAAAACAACGTTAGAGAAACAATTGTAAAAAATCGTTGAACACACAATATACGAATCACCCATGGTAGAAAAAGACAGGTAGATGCATCAACGCTTGGGAACATTGATATGTCAAAATATTTCAAAAATAAGTAAATTTTTAAATGTTTTCTTATGCAAGCACACACGATACAACTGGTTGTACAACTTGGAGAGGTTGTATTCAAGATTGTATCGTTTTAGGGACGGTTGTACGATGTTGTGTCTCGGTTGAATGAAAAATCTAAATTTTTGGATTTTTGGCATTTTGTACCAACCGATTGCAACGTTTGTGGGCATGTCGCATACAATTTCATTTTGTGTCCATTTTTGAAGAGGCAGCACCATTGTTTCGCATATCAAAACAATACGAAATTCAAACAAATGTCTGATTTTAATGTGTATATCAATCCCACATTGATCCTTAGTGGGGAAGGTATCAGAAAGAGTGTCCGCAAAATTTCATATTCACACTAGATCGAACGATACTGGAAGTATAGTTTTGTGCGCAGTTAAGAGAAACATCGGTTAATTATTACCATTTTATAAGAGCTACAATAATTCAATTTTTTTGCATTGGGAAATGTACTCAGTTTGGACGGAATCGAATATTCCTTTCGAGAATTATCGTGCGCACCAGCCAACCAGACAGACAAACCTCCCGGAGTTTCGATAAGGTACATAGTGGCCGCATCAAATAATGTATACCCTCTGTAGTCATATGGCTGATAGTGGTAAGTGTAGTTTCTCAATTTTTGGTGAAATGGGTCAAAAATTATATTTTTCTAGTAATCGACACCCCCTGCCGACTACTGGCAAATCTCTTTTTTCTGTTCCTAATGTCGGCATTAAATAATATAACTGAAAAATGGTTGATTTGTAATTTTTTTAAGTTATAAAATGTTCTTTAGACTGTTATTTACTTTAATAAAATATTTCTGATTCCAAAAGTATTAAATATAATTTACTTAAGTCGATTATTAAGTTGACACCACCACTATTTTTTTTTACAAACAAGCACTATCGCATTCGTTGGAAGACACTCACTGACGAAAACCGTTATCCTCTCGTAATAAATGATCGGAGCTCATTGTTTTTTTACAGAAAGAGAGCAGAGAACACTGTTGACGTTTTTTTGGAATTATTTCATTATTTGGTCAATTCTATTCTTAGTTATTTAAGTTTAAATTTCAAAACTGCCGACTACTGGGACATGCCGACCTTAGGCGCACTTACCCTATAACAAATCTTGAAAAACACGCGAAAAAACGGTTGGCAGAAGATGTATAGCCTAAGAAATATCTTCACTGATACTTACTAAAAAAGATATTTCCAAAGTTTTTTTCATTATTCAGAACATACGGAACCTATGTAGATGTTATGACATTACAAGACTACCCAAAGAAAAAATTGTATTCAGTAGTGCGATTCTCTAGCTCGTTTTTTGTGTTACCGACAAAAATCGGTAACTTGAATCCCAAAATGTTGAAATAAAAAATAAGTTAATGTTAACAACTTTGGTTTCTATCGATATCGATGTTAGCGACTACTTTGATTGTGTCGCTAACACCGAAATTATAAGCATTTTAATTTGACCAACTCTTTGCGGTAACTCTAAAAATGATTGCTATGGCCTTGAAAATCGGAAAATGTAGTACGACGTCTGAAGTGTTGATTATTATTATTTTCTTTCTTTGTTTGTTTTTATTAAGTCCACGTAATACCGTCGTGCTGTAAAAAATATTGAAGAAGCCCTCTATGGTAAATCTGACACTTTTCTCCCGATATATTTATGTAAAAGAAAATCGCGAAGAAAACGGATGGAACGCCGTGAATTTTTCACAACATCGGGTTCCTAATTCGACATCAAAAACATCGAGTTACAATTCAAAAATGGCGCCCAAAGGTGACCCAAAAAATTCAGATTTTATATGCACATATCTACGAGGGCAGTTCGGAAAGTTCTTAGCCTGGCGCAAAAAATCGCGGTATAAACAGATAAAAGTTAAGGGTTTTGGAAACTTCCATCTCTGTTATGAACACAAGTTTAATTTAAATTTTCGATCTAGCAACTCCTGCATATAGAAACAGCTGTTCCAAAATGCGGGCTGTCATTAAATATTTGCATAAAAAAGGTTAATCGGTTAATTCTCACTAATATGAATAGAAGAAATTTTTGTTTTTCTTCCAAAGAATAATTATATCATTAATTTTACAATTTTCATTCATTAATGTTTTCAACTTTTTGTGTAAAATATTGACATTTTGAACATATTTTTGTACTTCTCTATTTTTCTGCTGGAGAGATACTTGTCAAATTTTTTTTCTGCCGATACAAACATTTTGAAAATATTGCCTCTTTTGTTTGTAGTTTTCTGTGGAAATTTCAACTCGTGGATAAAATGCGTACCTCGAATGAAAGAGAAAACAAAATGTACTTTCGTTTGAATGTACATACGCCATTCAATATTGTAGTTTTCATTCATAATTTTCAGTCTTCCCAAATTTTTTTTAAAATTTCATTAAATTTTTCTAGTTTTAATTTTTAAATGTCATAATTTAATTTTTCGACAAATGCTCTCATTTGTTAGGGATGGGACATATTTTTTCGTTGTTCTGAGAGTGATTGGATTTGAACAATGTACAAATATGAGTGTTCCCTCAGGAAATTTTGTGTGAAGAATTGAGTAGTTTTTTCATAGTTAAGGCTCAAACAACGAATAGAGAGCGAATCAAGTGTAGTGGAAACGCCACATTAGGTGAAAGTGCTCCTTCATATGCAACAGTAAAGAAATTGGGTTGTAGCCAAAGTGCATGATATGATATTAAATGACCGACGAATAAAAGTGTGTGATATTGCTAATACTCGTAACGGTATCTCAAATGATCGAGTCCATTTAATTTTGAATTAAGAACTACAGATGAAATAGCTTTCAGCAAGATTTTAACATTTGTTTAACAGTCGATCAAAAACGCATAAGAATGAACATTTCTCAAGCTTATTTGGATCGTTTTAAGCGAAATAAAATGGATTTCAAGCGTCGTTTCATAACTGTCGATGAGACATGGATTCACCACTGTGCTCCAGAGACAAATACATGAAATCGGCCGAAAATATATATGTGAGATATACCGAAATCTAGACCGATTTCAATTGAATTTGGCAAATTTATTTTTGATCCAAATTCCCTTCATTGAAATTTGGAATACAAAGCGTGTTTGGTGCATCAAATACATGAAATCGCCAGATAATGTGTATGGGAGCTATATCCAAATCTCAACCAATTTCAATATAATTTGGCGAATTTATTTTTGTTCCAAATTCCGCTGCACCTTCCAAGATATATGCCATCATAGAATAATACAGGTAACAGCAAGTGTTGTTGTACAACAAACGTAACAACAACCACACACAAATTTGTATTTGTACGTAATACAAGAGTCAGAGTTATATGTGATGAGACATTTTTGGATTTTGAATTATTAAATTCAAAATGCAGAAGAGTCGTTCTTAAAATATTTCATTTTAATGGCTTCACACCATTCCCTTGAATGTGTAGTTCTCAACTGTAGGTTCAAATCTCTCAACGATTCAAGCAATCGTGGAAAAAAGCAACATCTCTTTCAAATTGAAACCATATTACATACATACATAAAGTATTCTACACTTTGCAATTCCAGGAAGCATGAAATATACGACTGTACTACCCAATGTGGTATAGCCGTTCTTTAACCGAAAAAAAAGGTTTCCGCACTACCGCCGTTGGCGTTTTGTTAAGTATAACAGCGAATTTTTCTATTATTAGTCAAAAAATATGTTCATATTGTCCTGCAGTTAAATATTATATCAAAAAAGGGCATATATATCAAGAAGTGGAATTAAATCACAAAACGTCATATCGGAGTTGACACTAGTATTACTATAGACTCAAATCAGCTGGGGTTTGCTTCTACCTGTAATAATTATACCGTAGATATGTGCATACAAAATCAAAATATTTTGGATCACCTTTGGGCGGTTTGATTGGGGAAGGAATAGAGCTGGAAATCTGAAATTTAGAGCGAGGGCCATTGATATTGTGTAGGATAGACAAACTAAAGGCTTTTTCGAAACTCTAACAATACGTGTGCCGAAAGTACTAAAATGCACTAAATTTGGTACCATTTGAAAATGGTAAACTCGTGAAATCAGGTATGAGAATCAATTCTTGGAAGAACGTGGTTTTAGAAATGTGCACTAAGTGTGAGACGTGTACTAAATGGTATAGTGCTTGAAATCTGAAAATTTGGTATTAAGGTGTATTGAGGTCTCTGTTGGTATATGGTGTTGAGAACTTGTGGTGGTTTTTGAAATGCGACTTTGGAATTTGTACAAAAAGTTCTAAGTGGTACTACATTTGTACATAGAGAGAGAGAGAGAGAGAAAATGAGGTTTTTTAATCAAACTATCTAGAAAATGTCTAAGACTGCACCTATCTACTTCAGTGCACTGTTTACCAGGATTCTAGGATTCACATTTTATCTTGCGCCCCTTAAAATGGTCTCAGAAACATTAAAACATATTACACAAAGCTCTTAAAACGGGTCGGTAACAGAATTTTAGCAGTAGGTGTTTCTTTTTATTCTGAAATCTCTACTGAAAGAAACCTTCAAACCGCGGAAAATATATATTAATAAGAGAACATTACGTTAATTATTAATAAAGCAAAGTTTCAGCGGAAATATATGTGGTTATATGGTGTTCATATGTTTGTTAAAGTTAAAATCTACCGACTAATAACGTAAAAATGGGTATTTTTTAACGTTAAACCCATTGTTATATTTTCCAATTAAAGACATTCACACTTTTCGTTTCATTCATACCTATTTTCAATAGACAAAAAAAGAAATGGTTCAATTGTCAATGTTGAAAATGTTCAACTTTGCAATGTTGTACGCCCCATGGTTCAATGAAATGAAGGAAACAATTATAATATGGAGCATTGTGGAAGAACCTCGCTAGATATCGATATCATGTAGCCCTCATATAACGGTATTCTCGATATTCGGTATTTCGGTGATTGAAGCCAAATTTTTCAAGGAATTGTCTAAAAATCCACATAACATATATTCATAATCATTATAAAATTCTTAGTCAATTTGAGAATGTCCGTTGTCTGTTCGTCTATATTTTAATGATTTTTGCACTTTTTACGGATTTGTCTAAAAATTGGTATTTGTAGTTCGCAATGGGTTCTTGCTCCGGTGGCGGAATATAGTATCCACGTTTTGGTATAGCCCCCACATAACAGTACCTTTTAATAATCTTAGTCACAATTACCCACGAAATTGTTTCAAATTTGGTATTTAAGAAGATTTAGTGGATAACAATCTTTGAAGTATAAAATTATAACGGTTTTTTTAACTTACAGTTTTTTTTTTTCTTTTTTGAAAAGTTAAACATTATTATCCAAACGGTTTTACTGATTTTTGTAGTTTAAAGAGGAACACGTTTGAATTCAGATATTTTATTAAAAATGTTTTCTTTACCCAAATTTGCCTGGCCTAACATGTTTTAATCAAAATGCGTATTACAACGTGTACATGGCCAAAATTTACTCTTTTTGTAGCAAATCACGATTTGTGTTTAAATATTCAAAGCCAATGCTACGACATGTTTTGTTTATTTGATAAAAAAAACAACTTGTTGCGATTGGTTCAATAGTAACTATTTCGTTACAATCCTACTTTTTACTTGCAAAATTTTTTGTAAATGATTGATTTTGAAAAAAAAAAAAAAATAAACATATGACTATGACTTTATCTTCTTCATTCTACCATGGCAGTAATCAATATCATATGTAGACTGCTGCAACAAATCTTCTAAAGCGGTGGGGTTGGAATCATGAATAATATAGGTAAACGTGCGACACAGCTGCTGGGACAATGAATTGTCAAACCAATATTGGAATTGAAAATGTTGAATGAAAATTATTAAATTTGTAAAAATTGTTGAAAAACGCAAATTGTAATAGCCTCCGAAAGACGTAGTATAAGAAAACATATAAAAATCTACTTATATTTGAAAAAAAATTAAGTTTTTTGACATATCAATGCTCCCAAGCGTTCTGCATTCTTCTGCCATGGGTTGGAATGATGAATTAAAGACGTTGGGAATGTTAGTTCTAAATTATATGCAAGGTCTGGATTAATTATTGGTTTTTATCCATGGTAGAATAATAGTAGAAGTAAAGTCATGCAATCGTATGTTTACAATTATTTCAAATATTATTCATTTGACAACATCTCATTGTCAAAATAACCAGAATAAGTTCTGCCAAAGCTGAATTTTTCAACAATAAAATTTCTACATTCGTCGTATTTCGGTAACATTCAAAAATACAACTCTTGTGGTGAAAAAAGTCTCAGTAATAAGGTGTGACACGTGCTGCACCACATAGTAGAATAATACAGGTAACATCAACATTTTTCACCACACAAGTAAAACACTCATATTTATATCAATGTTACCCAAATACGTCGATCGTACTACATTCCGACGTTGAACAATTTCGAAGAATTTCGTGTTTTGTGTGCTGGAAATATAAATGAATGATACCAAAAATGTGAATGTTTGCAATTGGAAAATATTACAATTATGGAGATTTAGTCAAGTATATGTTCTTAAAACGTTATTGTTTGGTAGATTTTGAAATATGGACCATGCTTATTTAGGTAATACGGACGTACAAACATTTTACTACATTTGTCGAATTGTAAATTACGCTGTTTACTCAGTATTTGTTTTTTTTTTTTTTTTTTTTCTGAAAACTTTGTAGTACACACCATGGTAGAATAATACAGGTAACAGCATGTGTGCACAACAAACACATACAAATTTTTTTTGTACGTAATACAAGTATTAGAGTTATATGTCCAAAAATGTAAACAAAGAACAACTAATTTTCATTAAATTAATTAACTAATTTCAAATAAATTATATTTTTTAAAATATTATTAAATATTGATGTTTTTATATCATTCCCCCCCCATACTTCTTAGATGAAGGTCCAAAACTCTTAACATTTCAAGCAATCTCTAGAAATTCGTGGAAATAGCAACATCTCTTTCAAATTTAAACCAAACTGTATACATATATACATAAAGTATTCGAACACAACATTTGTTGACCCACAAAGGGTCAACATTTTTAATAACAAAGCGTTCATAAAAGCATCCACTCCTTCTGGCACCTCACAAGATCTGGTATGAAGATCATAAAGTGCCAAATAAGCATCTGATTCTTGCTGAATTTCACACATTCCAAATTAATAATAATAATAATAATAATAATAATAATAATAATAATAATAATAATAATAATAATAATAATAATAATAATAATAATAATACAATATTAATTGTGAGGATTATAGATAACGGCACAACCCTTCTGGTACCACCCCCACAAAGGGTAAACATTTTCAGTATTTATATATCTCATAGCTTGCGTAACAAGTCATCGATGCTTTTCAAACTTGGTAGGTATAGTTACTCTTTCTCTCTCTCGACACCTCTGTCAGTAAAACCCATGGTAAAAGAATATAGGAAGACGCATCGACACAGCTGCTGGGTCATTGAACTGTCAAACCGATTTTGGAATTGAAAATGTTGAATGAACAATTATTTAAATTTGCAGAAATTGTTGAAAAACGCGAATTATAACAACCTCCGAATGACGTCGTATAAGAAAACATATAAAAATCTACTTATATTTGATAGAACATTTAAATTTTTTGACATATCAATGTTCCCAAGCGTTGATGCATCTACCTGTACTTTTCTACCATGGCAAAACCGAAGGGTAATAAAAAAATAAATAAAGTAAAACAATTAAAAAAACATTGAGTTGAGCCGGGCCAAACTTTTAATACCCTCCACCTTAGGGTGAAGGAAACATTAGAGCTCATTATGACCCACAACTACGAATTTTTAGACATATTCATAGGAAAATGTGCCAAAAATCATCAAAATACCGAATATCGGGAAATACGGTTATATGGGGCTATACAAAAACGTGGACCTATACATGCAATGTTTCGCCACACGAACTAGGACCCATTATGACCCACAAATACCAATTTTCGGAAAAATCAATGAAAAAATGTGGCAAAAACCATCAAAATACCGAATATCGGGAGGTACCGTTATATGGGGACTACACCTACTACTACTAGAATCACAGACGTACGTCGTTAAATCGGCTTAGAATTTTATGCTGATTATGAATATATACTTTTTGGGGTCTACGAACGACAAAGTTAATATACCCTTCATTTCCAAGGTGGAGGGTATAAAAATATTAGTTAATGCAGATAGAATTTTGCGTTTAGATCCAAATTGTATCCGGATTAAATCACATTATCAGATTTTATTGCTTAATTCGGATTAATTCACAAAGACATTGATAAATGAATAGTCGTGATAAATTTGAATATGGAAAATATACGTTAAATTTATTATGATTAACTTGAATTGAACTGTTGCAAGACTTGAAGATTATTGCGCGTAAGGAACATCGCTTATATGTATATAAGGTTGGCAATGCGGATGTGGTCTTATTGCTGTTCAAAGCGACGTAACTTCAATTCTTCATAATTTAGATAATTTCAAATTCAAACGAAGTATTCGATTTACTTTACAAATATGCAGGGCACATGGATTCAAACTAAAATAAAAACTTGCGAATTCGGCCTCTCCCTAACCATACAATTCATTTTATCTTCGCTTCGGCCAATGAGCGACTGGAATATCGTACTAATGGGAGTCACGCTATTTTTACATTATAGCATACCAACTGATTAGAGTTCAATAATTTTTTATGGATAGGTTACCTCAACTTTGGGCGATATTGCCATCTTGTCATCGTAGTGAATTTGTTAGTTACACACGTTTGCATTTGATGCGCTGACGCCAAGAAAGTGCAAAGTGAATATTAAATTTCATTTCCAAACAGGCGAGATCCAGGTAAAAAATATTCAACTCAGTTGGTCTCCGTTATCTGTGACGAGTATTTTAGACGGAAAGTTTTTAAAATTGCGAAAATGTCAAGTAGGTTATGATTGCTGATGCCTAAATTGCGTCTTATTTATATCAACTTAGCAAGCGTTAAATTTATTTATGTCGTACAACTACTTTTCAGTTTCCAATGTTGCGAGCGGTAGTAGATCGTCTATCCTTATTGGGGCTGGTTTGGGCGTAACTTTAATAGCAGGTGGCTTGTCTTATTTATACTATAAATACTTAAAGCGAGATGTTATGCCTCTAAAATGGCGCAGAATTGGCACTTTGGACCAGATCAACATATTTCCGGTGAAATCATGCGGGCCATTACAATTGACCGACCAAGACCAAGTGTTTTGTGAAGTCTTGGGACTTTGCTACGGCGGAGTACGTGATCGTGCACTCATGTTGATCAATGATAAGAATGAAATGATAACGGCTCGTATTTACCCAAAAATGGTGCTGATACGTATTTCCGTTGTAGGAGATGCTAAGTTGTGTGTTAATTTTGACGGCATGGAACCATTAGAAATAGACTTTAGCAAAATGGTTGAAGATGCTCCAGGCAGGGATGTTCATACGTCTGTTTGGGGGACCAAAATAGATGCAATGCTATGCGGGGAAAAATATGACCATTGGTTTTCCCGCTGCATCTTGCAGAAAGATTCGGGTTTACGATTGGTTTACTATCCATATCCAAAACCAGTTAGATCCACAAACGCTCGAATGATGAAGGAACCATTTATTAAACAGGAAGACTCGGTTAGAGGTAAAATAGAAATGGAAAATTGCAAATTTTATATTTGTTATTTTTAAGGGTACTTTCGGCGATGCTACCAGTTACATGCTAATGAATTTGGCTTCGGTTGATGATTTAAAGCATAAAATGAACAAGCCTGTTGATCCTCTACAGTTTAGGGGCAATTTCCACTTGCGCATGGACAAAGATGAACCCTACGCCGAAGATAAGTGGCAATGGATTCGCATTGGGGAAGATGCTGTTTTCAGAGTCGTAGCACCATGTACACGATGTATATTCCCTAATATAAATGTAACAACTGGAGAACGTGATCCCAATGGCGATCCACTAAAAACATTAAAAAGGTAATAGTACACCTACCGTTTGTTTTTTACCAAGGACTCCGATATACATTTCTTATACTTTTAGCTATCGCATGTTCAAAAATTACGCCAGCCCAGCTCTTGGCGTTCACTTGGGACTACGTCGAGGAGGTGTAATAACCAACAACGACGTGATATATGTTGAAGATAACACGCCTTAAAGCATTTATTATTCCAGTTGACTTCCATTTACAAACCCCTTTATTATTTTTCCAATAAAACATAAAATATTAAAATTTGAATGTAATTTTTATAAGCCGTTCAAGCTTTATTTTCAAACGTACATATATTACAAAACTATATATGAATTTCATAATTAATAATAATGGTTTAAAAATCAATATAACGTTGATTGTTTACATTAGATACATGAGAAATAATTTTAATAAAAATATTTAGAAAGAAAAATAATATCGCAATGTTAACCAATAATGTCTGCTAATCTTCGATTAATTGCTTCTTATATATCTATTTCAAGCAGCCTTGCCACGCTAGTCCACCGCAGGCCATGCTCACAATGACATATATAACGAATATGATTATAAGGCCAACGACGACATAAAGACGTATATTTTTCCAAAACATTTGCCTTGCCAAGTTCCGGGAAGCTTTTCGGAATGCTACAGACTGAAAAGGCAATAAACATTATTTAAAATTAAAACATTAATCTTCAGTAATAATCTCGTCATAAAAAGAAATACAAAAATGTAAATGTTTTTAATTGAAAAAAAAAAAAAAAACAAAAATTGATAGAATTTAAAAACTATCCATTTTTACAACATCTTTAGTTGATAGATTTTAATACATGAATCTGGCGTCTGATATAATTATTGCGACATGCCAGGTTTGTACTATATCGACCTCCTCCTCCCCATTATTTGAGATATTTTTTTGGAAAATGTTGATTAAAGTTTATTTAAAATTAAAACATTAATCTTCTAGCATTACAGTAATAATCTCGTCACAACAAGAAATACAAAAGTGTAAATGTTTTTAATTGAAAAAAAAAAAAAAACAACAATTGATAGAATTTAAAAACTATCCATTTTTGCACATCTTTAGTTGATAGATTTTAATATATGAACCTGATATATTTATTGCGACATGCAAGGTTTGGACTATATCGACTTCCTCCTCCCCATTATTTGAGATATTTTTTGGAAAATGTTGAACCTTTGTGGAGGAGGTAGGAGAAAGAGTGGGCCAATGTATTATAACAGATAATACCAAAACTGATAAAAAATTGAGATGTGCAATAATTACTTATTCCCAGTTTTGTGGGATTTTTTGGTAATCAATACTTCTTATATCTTGTGGAAGTAGTGGACCAACCATATTTATATTACATCTTTAGCTTTTAGGCATCAGGAACCTAAAGAATGGACAGATGAGTCTCATATTCACAATAGAACTTATATGATACTTGACTTATTTAAAATTTTAACCCCTAAGGTATTAAGGAGGGGTCAAAAAATTCCATATTCACATCAAATATTCCATATTCACATCAGATCTCAAGTGTAGTCAAACATTGAGATGTACTTAGTTTAAATAGAATCGCTGACTTGTTTCGCATTTTATAGGGGTTATAAGTAGTGTTAATGTTGACCCTATGAGGGGAAGTACCAGAAGGAGTAGACCGATATTACCCATCTCTGAACTCGATTTAAGTTTGACAATAATATTACGATGTACCAAGTTTGGACCTAATCGGATACTCCATTCTAGCGTTTTCGTGCGCACCAGCCAGGCAGACGGACACCCCTAGATCGATTCCAAATGTCCTAAAAAGGGCCGGGCCGAACTTTTAATACCCTCCACCATTTGCAACGAATTTGGAAATTTTTAAAAAATAAAATCCTTAAAAAATTTTGTTAAAATTTTAAAAATACCGAATATAGCCGTTATATTGGGGTCTATACGACGTGGACATACATAGGAATTGTTTGTCATAAGCCATTACCATCTTCAAATTCGAAACTTGAAATAAACGGTGAATAATGTATCTAAAATCATCAAATATTTATCCTTATATACGATATTATAAGGAGGTGCAGTTAAATTGGAGCTGTGCGAAGACCTGGACCAGCACAGACAATTTTCTGTCACAGGCTGTAGCATCCTTTACAAACTTCAAATACTACATCTCAAACAATTTCGGTGGGTATTGTACCTAAAATCGTCAAAATACCGAATATAGGGAGGTACTGATATATGGGGCCTATACGAAGACCTGGACCCGCACAGACAATTTTCTGTCACAGACTGTGGTTCGCATAACGAACTTCAAATACCAAATTTGAAACAATTCCGGTGAATAATGTCGCTAAAATCATCAAAATACCGAATATAGGGAGGTACCGTTATATGGGGGCTATATGAAGACGAGGACCTGCACAGACAATTTTTTGTCTTAGGGTGTAGTATCCATTTTTAACTTCAAATACCAAATTTGAAACAATTCCCGTGAATAATGTCGCTAAAATCATCAAAATACCGAATATCGGGAGGTACCGTTATATGGGGGCTATACGAAGACGTGGACCTGCACAGACAATTTTCCGTCTTAGGGTGTAGTATCCATTTTGAACTTCAAATACCAAATTTGAAACAATTCCCGTAAATAATGTCGCTAAAATCATCAAAATACCGAATATCGGGAGGTACCATTATATGGGGGCTATATGAAAACGAGGACCTACATGGCCCATTTACGAACTTAACCTGCCTACTGGAAAAATAAACATGTGTGCAAAATTTTAGCCATCTATCTCAATTCATTCGAAAGCGTGATTACAACAGACAGACAGACGGGCATCGCTAAATCGACTTAGAATTTTACGCTGATCAAGAATATATATACTTTGTTGGGTCTGACATGAGTATTTCGAGGAGTTACAAACGGAATGACAAAGTTAATATACCCTCCATAGTATGGTGGAGGGTATAAAAATAATGGGTTAGTAGGCTGATTTTTATGTAGGTACGACTGCTTGAGGATTTCAAATGTCATGTTGTCCACTTTTTTGTCTTGGTAATAATGTTTTACATAAAAGAGCACGATCAAGGTAAAAACTTGCAGTTAATTTTTTACAAAAACATAAAAAAGGATGGTGTGCTAATGCCGTGGGAGATACTCACATTGTTACTTAAATTTTCAGTTTTATTCACTAGCAATTCCAACTTTTCCCCTCGGTCTCTTAGGTTGTCTACAACGGGATTATTAGCAAAAATATTTAAATATAAAGATACAATGAAAAACTTTAAAACATACCAATATTTTTCACCACGATGTCCTTTAGTTCGTCAATTTGTCCATGTACTCGTGAAATAGCATCGATTTCGACGGACTGACTGAAGAAGGTCATTTGCTGAGCCAGGACCCTTGAAAATTCGGTGTTCATTGCATAGGCAATTGCAGTGGCTACTTGCAGGCCATATGTGTGAATGAATTTCTGCTTAATGTCAGCCAGGAAGAGAAATGCCCTAGAGCGTTCAAACTCCTGTTGTTTGATTGGGTAAATACTCAATTGTGTAAATATAATGAAGATTTAGATTTTAGTTTCGCAATGTACTTACACTGTCTGTAATGCACATATAGATCAATTTATTTTCACACACGTAATGGATCAGATAATCGCCGTGCGAGTAGGTAAGTTTGTGGTTATCTAATGTGATCTTGGAAATAATCTGATCGGTTACCTCTGCGAAGTTACCCACACACTCGGCATACTTGGCTAAAACCGTAGTGCCTCTGGATATTACGGAATATAATATAGGCATTTCTGACAATATCTAGCTACGTTAAAAAGGTAAGCATTCATTAATATAATATGTCAGTAATTCAACCATACCCTCGTAGCGGTGTATATTAACAAATATTTTTGTTCTCAATTTCAATTTCCATGCCTGTTGTTTTCATTGGTGATGAGATGGCTGGTGCATCCCATCACCAAACAAAACAACTCGCCTATGTGTGTATGTATTACTCACCAACAAAGGAATGTACTTCAATATAACTTGTATGGCCCAAGACCTTATGAAATGGACTTTGCCAATTGTAGATCCCTTTTCATAAAGCAAGCAGTTATTCTATTATTTGTAAATCAAGCTGGTTAATCTGTAATTATAAAATACATTTCTTATTGATCCAAGTTCGAACCCCTTTTTTATGCACTTTTATCTTATACTAGGGATGGCTAAATCGACTTTCGACTAATTGTCAGAGAAGGGAAGATTAAATCAAACGTAGGAATAGGAAATGAAACTAATGTCATGTTCTGATTAGCATTTGAACAGCGCCGTTCACTCTCCGAAATTCATACACTTTAGATATACTTGCAATTTTTTCAAAGTTGGCCTACACTTTAGATATACTTGCAATTTTTTCAAAGTTGGCCTACCTTCTCTTCATTGTACCATGTATACACATATGTTTTTTTTTTTATTTTTTTGACGACGAAAATACGCCGCGAAAAATTCGTCGTTCGCTCCAATTGTGTTCCTAGCATTAGGAACATGGTAGAATAACACAGGTGAATTCATCAACGCTTAGGAATATTGTAATGTCAAAAATTTTAACATGTTTTTTTCCAAATATATTTAGATTTATATTTTTTTTTGCGGCGTTAATCGGATTTTATTATGATATGCCTTTTTCAATATATTTTACAAATTTGATTAATTTTTCATTCAAAATTTTCAAACTCAAAATTGATATGACGGTTCATCATACCTGTATTCTTCTACCACGTTTAGGAGGATATAAATGCCAATCAGCTGATGTTTGCTTACAAATACATAGGCCGGGTATTACATCTTTCCGATAGATAAAAAAGTGATGTTGTCGGACACATAAATTGTTTTTCGTTATTACAAGACCCATTCAAATAAAAACTTTAGTTCATTTTAAAGTGTTTTGTCAAAAATAAGTATATCTTTATATGTTTTCTAATACGACGCTAATCGGAGGTTGTAATGATTTGTATTATTCAACAATTTTTACAAATTTCAATAATTTTTCATTCAAGATTTTTAATTCCAAAATCGGTTTGACAGTTAATTGTCCCAGCAGGTGTTTCGATGCGAAAGTGAAATTCTTGAAAAACGATAAAATGTGTTTTCGAAGTCGAGTGGGTTGAACTCGTAAATCAGCATGTTGACTATGCAAAACATGATGAGAGCCACCTTGATAAAAAACACAAAACTTACTTTTCGTTCTCTATTGCCCTGTTCCAGAACCTGTAAGAATCTTCTATTTTTGCAATTTTTTTTTCGATATCAAAAAGGGAAAATCGGTTATCGTAGTAAAAACTTTTCAATTCTTGCAGTTCTGGAAAAGGCCATATATCTTCATTTGTCTATGCTTAATATCGATTAATCGGAAGTCGACTTACCTATCCCTATCTCATAGTTCCTTCAGCTGAATATCTTCATTGAACTAGTTTTGTTAGTTTTGTTCAGAAACAATCACAGAGTTTTATTTCGCTTGTATTTTAAAAGGTTCTATTATAATATGAATACGAATGGCGGAACGGATTCGCCCGGTGTTGTTGGTGAAAATAAAAAGCCAACCACAGATAAACGGGACCTTCTAGTTTTGCTAAAACTGATTAAGAAATACAACTTGAAGCAAACAGAAGAACTTTTATGTCAGGAGGCAAATATAAAACAAGATGAAGTAGAAGATGTAGATGACAAAGAACTTACTAGTATATTGAGCTCAGCTTTGGGCGAGAATTCGGAGTGTAATGGAGAGGCCAAAGATGGTCCTGGAAGTGATCCCGAATTGTATGATATGGCTTACGGAGATTTGTGTAATTTCGTGGACGAGTCTTTGGATATTTATAAGCATGAACTGTTCATGGTGCTTTATCCAATATTGGTACAGATCTACTTTAAGCTTGTCTCAGGAGGTTATGCCAAGTCAGCCCGCGCTTTCGTTGAAAAATATGGGCCTGACTTAGACTATTTTTACAGAGAAGACCTCCAAAATTTGCTGTTAATAACTAAGAAGAGTGAAATGGAAAATAACGACTGGGTTACTTCAATGGATTCAGATAAATTTATAATACGTATGTCAAGAGATGCCCATTCCCTTTTTAAGAGACACATGCAAGATAGAAAGCAGGAGTTGATTGCCGACATTGTAATGAAATATCTAAGTTTTGATACTTATGAAGGCACAGCACGTAGTAAATCTCAATGCAATGCAACTAGTGGGTCGTTAATTGGAGAATCGCGTAGACAGGATAATAAGATCCGTGTTTACTATGGTTTGTTAAAGGAAGTTGATTTTCAATCACTAACTACACCTGCCCCAACAACCGTGGAAGAAGAGGATGATAATGACCCCGATGCCCCAGATAAACCAAAGAAGAAAAAACCCAAGAAAGACCCACTTTTTTCGAAAAAATCTAAATCGGACCCAAACGCTCCTTCTATGGATAGAATACCATTGCCTGAATTGAAGGATGCTGATAAATTGGAAAAACTGAAAGCACTTCGAGAAGCGTCAAAGAGAGTGCCTCTTGGAAAAGATTCTCTGCCCTCTGTTTGCCTGTATACAATATTGAACTCCCACAACAGCGTAACATGCGCTGAAATATCGGAAGACTCGTTTGTGATGGCAGTTGGTTTCACAGATTCCAGCATAAAAGTTTGGTCACTAACTCCGTCGAAACTGAGAGAAATGAAGCCTGCGGAAATGCTAAAAGACATTGATAAAGATGCCGAAGATGTGTTAGTTCGGATGATGGATGATCGTACGGGCGAATCAGCGAGAACGTTTTATGGGCATAGTGGACCCGTGTACCGTTGTGCATTTGCTCCCGAAAAAAATATGCTGTTATCTTGTTCCGAAGACGCCACTATTCGATTATGGTCGCTACATACTTGGACTTGTATAGTGGTCTTTAAAGGTCATTTGTTTCCAGTTTGGGATGTACGATTTTCACCGCACGGCTATTATTTTGCCTCATGTTCCTATGACAAAACAGTGCGTCTTTGGGCAACGGATTCTAACCAACCTTTAAGAATATTTACAGGACACCTATCTGACGTTGACTGTGTACAATTTCATCCTAATTCAAATTACATTGCCAGTGGATCCAGCGATCGTACAGTAAGACTTTGGGACGTACTCACCGGGCAATTGGTGCGCCTCATGACAGGGCATAAGGGACCTATATACGCTTTGGCGTTCTCAACATGTGGTCGATATTTGGCATCAGGTTCATCCGATCATAATGTATTAATCTGGGATTTATCACATGGCCAACTCGTCACTTCACTAGTGAGGCATACAGGATCAATTCATACAATAACATTTAGTCGAGATGGAACTATACTTGCAGTTGGTGGCTTGGACTGTTACCTTACATTATGGGACTTTTCAAAACTTAGCGAAGATTACATAGCGCAAAACTCGAACGCATCTCATAATCTAGATGTTGACGAAAGCGATCACTATCTTCTTAGAGCATTTCCAACAAAGTCAACCCCGTTCACAACCCTTCATTTCACAAGGCGCAACCTATTGCTAGCAGTAGGCACATTTAAATCGTAATATACATCTGATTATTATATTTTAAATTATCCACCCCTACGTACATAAATATAGACGCAATACAGGCATACAGTAAGAAATAAATGAAGATTTAAACCAAACTTATACAAAGCTTTAATTGCTATATTCCATAGGAACACATTCTTCTGCAGCGACATGAGAGGGTGAAGAGCATTCGACTAAAAGTTCATTGGGTTCACTATCCAAGGAGGGTTCATTACTAAACATTTCTTTGGATATAGTGATTTGATCAGACATCAGCTCCAAAACAGTTCCATTAGGTAAATGTGATTCAGCCTCAGTCTTAGGTTGTTGACGATCATCTGAAATGCTTTGTTGAGATGGATTCACTTTTAAGCAAGAGGTATCCGGGGTGACTGTTGCTACTATTTTCTTCTTCCTTCCTCTCGATGTTCCAGGAGTTGAAAGACTTGCTGATACCTCGGTTTTGCGCCTGCAAAAACAAAGCGAATTAAATAAATATTATATTGCCTGATTCATTTATGTACTTCTTGACTTCTTTCGTTGCTTCATCTTCGGAAGACTCTTCTGTTTCTTCACTCTCTGAAGAGGTATTTTCCGGTTTTTCATATTGCAGCAACCGATCTAGGAGAAATGCTCTATCGCGAGACACCTTTAGTAACCGCCGCTGATTGGATCGAAGAGCGTCTTGAAAAAACTCGTTTTCCTAATAAAGATATAACACGAATTGTCAATTTTGAAAAAGGAGTGAATAATACTTTCTTACGTATATTAAAAACTTAAGCTTTCGTTTCAGGTATCTGTATTGAGATTTGTAGTCAATGTTGTTAGTTGATTGACCCCGGTGACTTTCTTCATTGTCCTGGCTTGCTGATGAATCCGTCTCATCATTAACCTCTATATTTTGGTCACTTTGGACAGGCTGAGAGGATTGCTCCTGCTCATTCAAAGTTCGACAATACCAGCCTTCCAACATTCTAGCTTGCTTGGGGTAGATAGCGAGGAGTTGAGATTGTCGTCTCTGCTTCAAGCGCGTTGGAAACAAAAATGAAAAACGTCCCAACGAAACGAATATGAAGGCCACAAAGGAATACCCGATAAAAAATAAACAGAAAAAAACAAAGACTCGGGGTACTCTGTTGTTTACGAATGAGTGTAATGCATAGCGCCCGGGTAGAATGAGACATGAGAAAATTGAACATCTTCACTAAAGAGCGCGGAACTACTTGCTACTATCGTTTGTTGAACTCGACTATGGACTTGGGTGAAAACCGAGTATTCGACTATTGATTGTCGATTGTTCGACTTATGCTATGTTCTCATTGCAATTTCAATAACGTTGTTCGCTCTCAAAATTAAGTACACGAATTAACCCTCCAAAGATAAAGTAAATCGTTGGAGGGTTAATTCGTGTACCTAATTTTGAGAGCAAACAACGTTATTGAAATTGCAAAGAAAACCAAATATGCTCTTTATGTATTTCCAGCCTTAGGACTAATTATGGACCATAGGCTCATAACATTCCTAACATTCAATGTTCGCTCACTTGTTGAAGCGAGTCGTCAAATAGCGATGAAAAATATTCTCCACAGCGAAAAAATTGACTTTGCTCTTGTTCAAGAATGCCACCTTCGAACACCTATTGGAACAGCAGTGATAGTGAAAAATGACATAACTTTCACTCGAATAAAAAACGATATTGGCATTAATACTTCTTTCATACAAGTAGAAATTTCTTCAAACAACGGACCTAAAATGTTCTTGATTGGCACGGTATATATACCTTGTAGTTATCCTGTCAACAGACTCGAAGCAGATCTAAATAAACTTCTGGAATTCTGTACTCCTTTTGATGGATTTATCATCGGTGGTGACCTTAACTCCAAAAATCCTGTATGGGGTGATTTGAACGAAAACTCAAATGGTAAAGTTTTGAATTCGTGGCTAAGCAACAACTCCTTAGATGTCACTCGGCTTTGTGACACCTCGCCGTCGTACCCAAATGGACCGTTTTTCTTGGACCATTTCTTAATCAGCCCACATCTAATAAACCATGGAATTCAAAACTACCACATATCTTCGCTGCCGACCTTTTCATTTTCCAATAAAACTTTCTTTGAAACTCGATGGTTCCAATCTAGTTCTGAAGCAACCAAAATTCTTCACATCTTACAAAAATACAAACTGGTATGATTTTCGTAGAAATTTGGAGACAATAACACAACAAATTATGCCACCGACAAATAAAAACCTCGAAAACAATGAGATTGAAATGATCATCGAGAACTTCAACAATGAATTTAACAGCATTCACAGCTCTCATTCAGAAAAGATATTCATAAATGACGAAAAATTCCCTCTTTCCGAAAAAACTAAAAACTTTCTTAAAGTCAAACACCAATGGCAGAAAGAACTGAAAAAAATTTTCCACCGTACAGGAAACAGAATCAACAGTGAGTACATAATTCTCTCAAAACAAGTTCAATTACTTAAAAACATAATAAAGGAGCTCATAAATATAGAATCTGCCAACATATTTAGCAACAAGCTGAAAAAAATTAAACCCGGACCATCAGCATTCAAAAAAATTCCCCAATTTACTAAAAAAACAAACTCATCTTTTTGTCAAAAACTTCAACACGGCGACAGTACTATTACAAACAACTATGAAATTGCAAATAAGTTCCAGTTATTTTATTCTTCAATTTTCCTAGAGAAATTGCCTCTACATCCAGTTCACGATCTGAATTCCAGGGTTTCATCGTGTATTGACACCACAACACCTTACATTTACACTTTCAATGACGAATTTAGTATCCTGAACAATCCCGACTCCCATCACTTTACTACTCCTGAAAAAGTAAAGAGTGTTATTGCTACTACCAATTCAAAAAGATCTTGTGGATCCGATGGCATATCAAACTTTATAATTTAAAAATTTCCGGACGCAACAATAAAGCTGGGAATACATAAAGCGCTTATTCGGTTGGCTAAAGTCATCGGCTGGCTTCTTCCGAAATGAACAAAGGAGCCTAGGGCTAAAATCGAACTAGGTCAACCTAAAACTCCTTTGTTCATCTACGAAGAAGCCAGCCGATGACTTAAGCCAGCCAAATATGCGCTTTATGTATTTCCAGCCTAAGATTTTTCACTTGTCTGTTCAACAATTGCATCAACAATGGGTATTTTCCAATACAACGCGCCCAAATCATTCCAATTAAAAAAAGCCGAATGCTGCGTTTGTTGATGACTTTCGGCCAATTTCGTTGTTGTCCAACATTGGGAAAAGTTGTTCCATAACGATATAACCTCTAATTTGCGAACAAAATGAGTACCGTGGCAATATCGTAAGACATTCAAAGAGCATTTGACTCAATATGTCACGTCGGAATTATTTACAAGTTAATAGAAATTGGCATTGACCCATACTTAATAAAAATTATGAAAAGTTTCTTCACATCAAGAACGTTTTCCGTCCATATAAATGCCGCATCATCACCTACGGGAGAAGTAAATAGCGGAGTCCCACAAGGCAGTATTTTAGCTCCATTTCTGTTCAATCTATTCCTTCACGACTTCCCTCACATCAGTCAAAATTCAAAAGCAATTTTATACGCCGATGATTGCCTCATTTAAGCGCATCATACATCACCGTCAATTGCATTAAATAACGCAAAAAATCACCTTCAGAGCATTAACAGCTACTACAAAAAGTGGGGTATTCAAATAAACACCGCGAAGTCTGTTGCAATCTGAATAAGTAACGGATCCGGAAAATGCCCATGGTACGTTGTCCCAGAGAGCAAATCACTACAACTGTCCTTGGATGGCATATGTGTTAAACAATAAACACCTACTTCAAAAAACAAAATTCATTCTCTACAAGGTAGCAATCCGTCCACGTTTGATCTATGGATTTCCGATCCGGTTCTCTATTTCCCCAACAGTGGCCAAAGAATTGGAAGTCCTGAAAAGAAAAATTATAAGGAAATGTATCAACAAAAATTTCATGAATGAACATCAACGATACTCAAACACCCACATTTATACTGCGTCAAATGTTGTCCCTCTTTGTGAATATGCCCAACGCCAACAATTAACATTCATCGAAAAACTTGCCACGCATGAAAACTATCTGATGAATGAAATTTATGAAATTGAAAAATAAATTTCCTGGTCACAATCCTCCTACCTATCATGTGTAGGAATCTTGAACGAAACGCTTGAAAGCCTTCTTGACCACAACTTGCCACAATTTTACAAAAAATCGCGTCTGGCTGTCACAGAGGATAGATAAATAAGTTTATTCTTATTTTACATTGTATACTATATAGCAACTTTACATACCATATAAGGTTCCATAAAATTGTTTCCATATATAAGCTCACTGAGCACTCGATTAGTATTATCCGATACATTTATCTGTGATATCTGTGATAATGTTATTTTACCATACAAAAAAAAAAGCTCTTTGAGCACTCGATTAACTGTGATAAACTATATATTAAGCATACAATTAAATTTAAAAACTATCATTTTTATACCCTCTGTTTTAACAGACCACTTTGTTATTTAGTTTTTTAGTTTGTTTTGATTACTTATTTATTATTACTGCGAACGTCAAAGCGCTGATCGTATCAGCGGAGGCCGGGAGCAAGTCTCATTTTCTCTTTTCACCTTGCATGAAATAAATAAAACATTCTCATATTACGCTAAAGGTACGGTCACACTGGGCAAATATTTAATCGAAATTTGTTATCCCATATTTGACTGAACAAATGTGAAATTCATACAGAGTTGATTCGATGTTCACATTACAGTCAAATATTTGACAGATTTTGTTTGCTCAAGCAGTCACCAAACAGCGTCAAATAGTGCTATGGGAAAACATATTTGACACATGTTCACATTCATAAAATATATTTTCCCCATGAAATTGTTTGATCAAACTCTGAGGAAACATAAGTTTATTTGGCCGAGAGAAATAGACAGAGAGAGTGAAAGAGAGACATAAATAAAATAGAGTTTCGGGTGTAATTTATTTTGGAGAAGGGAAACAAAAGACCGGCTATTGTGAAATAAATGCCTTGCCAGAACAACTTTTTTTTTTTGCAATTTTTGTATGTTTATATGCACGCGTATAAGTATGCATATAAATCATGGTGCATAAAATTCATAGTAGGGTAGTATGCTGTTGTGTTCAATTATTGGGCTGTTCCAGAACCTGCAAGAATCGACTAGTTTTGCAATTTTCTTCGATATCATAAATGCAAAATCGGTTGTCGTAGTAAAAACATTCTGGAACAACCATATGTAAACAGTTTACATATAAATATATATAGATATAGAAAATTATTTTGAGAAGAAATCTTGACCTACTACTCACTTTGGTGGACTTTGTTAATTAATTCAAAAATACCAAACAAACAAAACTACTTATTGCATTCGTTTGTCATTATATTCATTAAACATCATGTTACAAATGCTTCTGTTCTTAAAGAAAAATGGTGAGACAATGTTTTAAACCGATATTTTTCCTTGTTTGACCTTACAAAACATTTGCAACGTCAAATAAATGTTTGACAAAAAATGAGGAAAATAATTGATCATATGTGTTCACATTATGGACACACTGGTCAAATTTTTGTTTCCTGGCAAATAATTTTGTTTTCCCAAAATCAGCTGTTTTTATATTTGCCGTCAAATAATATTTGTTGGTCAAATTGTGACAAAGAAATATTTGACATTTTTCGTCAAATATTTGCCCAATGTGACCTTACCTTAAGTAGCATATCTTTACGACTTCACTGTACAATAGAACAAAACGACTATAGTTCTAAATTAAACATGTTAACCATTCGATTTGTACGTACATTTACCAAAGGAAAAGGAGAAGACTCTAATAAAGTTTACTTTTCTTTGTCTAATTGGGCTTTTAGGCCCAATTTTTCTGTTATTAAATTCGCCTGGAGAGTCATTTGTAAAAAAATTGTCGATACAAAAATGTTGTAAATATTGCCTCTTTTGTTTCCAGGTTTCTGTCGAAATACTCGTAGACAAAATAGGGTACCCCGCATGAGAGAAAAAACAAAATTTACTTTCGCTTGAATGCACATACGCCATTCAACATTATATCTTTCATTTATAATTTTCAGTCTTCCTGAAAATTTTCATAAAATATTTCTAATTTGAATTTTTAAATTTCATAATTTATTTTTTTTCCATAAAGGCTCTCTTTTGTTAAGGATGGCACAAATTTCACCGTGATTTGAATGGAACAAAGTAAAATCTTTCTTCTGATCTTTTGAGTGGGGAATCAAGTAGATATTTTATAATTAATGGTCGAACAACGAATAAAAGAGCGAATCACGTGCCATGTTAACTTAGCATTACTTCACTCATGTTGGGCGCCACTTGGCTTGGGCGGGAGCATGGCCCAATTATAAGGACAACCAGAAACCGAAACCCAAAAAATACAACTCTTCATCTACATAATTGTCAAGAGTTGTTATTAGAAAGAGAGATCTAATACAAAATTAACCAGATAATATCTCGTTCCATTAGGTACATAAGGAGGATCTCGAGGATCTTTTTTAAACATTTTTACTACTTGTGGAAGAAGATACTAGAAGGGATGAGTCAATATTGTCCATATACGAACAAACTCAAATAAAATTGTTGTTTTTTATTATGAACTTGGGTTCTTTTTTAAGACATCACTACAACACACTTTCTTAATAACGAAAATAATATTTATTGTTTCTTTTCTTTAATGGGAATGGGTAAGAAATAGTTATGGTAATTGAGGACCTTTTGACTGATGATAACAATCACCCACATGATGCTAATCAAATTTGCCAATTTCCAATTTATTGCTCAGCCCTTTCCAAGTTTTCCTTAAGAATGAAAGTTCAGCCATTGTCAAAAAAAAAAAAGAAACACAAATAATTGAACAGCATTTGGTAGGCAAATGGTCAAAAGATCTCTATGTTTCTTCATATTGATCCTGATCCTTACATTGTTCAATTGTATTTACTTGACGCGATAGGCTTCCAAAACAGCATCACACGTATTGCAGCAATATGTACTATAAAATTCAGTGCAATAACAACATCTTTCATTAATTGGCTCGGTTTAATTTAAGGAACAAATCTAAATATTGTTAGGAAATATCAAGGCCAACACGTGAATGTTGGTCCCCTGATTTTTTTTAATTGTTTCTATCGTTTATTTGATAAAAACTGTTTTTTCCTTTTGTTGAACTATTTTCAAATTGAAAAAGCAACTATTGTAGTTGTCAGGCTAATTCAAATTAGGTTGACAGAAAATTAAGGTATCAGCTGGTCTTACTTGTCGAACTTATAATTGGCTCATTGGCGGGAGCATGGTAGAAGAATGTAGGTAGATGCATCCACGCTTGGGAACATCGTATTCTCATACGATGCAAATCGGAAGTGGTTATAATATTTTTTTTCAACAATTTTTACAAATTTCAATAATTTTTCATTCAACATATTCAATTCCAAAATCAATTTGACAGCTCATTGTCCCAGCAGCTGTGTCGATGCGTCTGCCTGTATTCTTCTTGGTACAATTAAATAAATACCAAATTTGGAACGATTCCGTTAAATAATGTCGCTAAAATCATCAAAATACCGAATATCAGGGGGTACCGTTATATGGGGGCGATATGAAGACGTGTACCTACATGGCTCATTTTTTGACTTAGGGTGAAGTATCCATTACGAACTTCAAATACCAAATTTGAAACGATTCCCGTAAACAATGTCGCTAAAATCATCAAAATACCGAATATCGGGGGGTACCGTTATGTGAGGGCTACACGAAGACGGGGACCTGCACAGATAATTTTCTATCTTAGGCTGTAGTATCCATTACGAACTTCAAATACCAAATTTGAAACAATTCCGGTGAATAATGTCGCCAAAATCATCAAAATTCCGAATATCGGGAGGTACCGTTATATGGGGGCTATATGATAACTTGGACCTACATGGCCCATTTACGAACCTAACCTGTCTACTGGCAAAATATACATGTGTGCAAAATTTTAGCCTTCTGTCTCAATTAGTTCGAAAGATAGCGTGATTACAACAGACAGACAGACGGACATGGCTAAATCGTCTTAGAATTTTACGCTGATCAAGAATATATATACTTTGTTGGGTCTAGCATGAGTATTTCGATGAGTTACAAACGGAATGACAAAATTAATATACCCTCAAATCAAATTGTCAAATTGACTTTTAAAACATGCAAAACTTTGTTTTGGTTTTTTTATATTTTTTCATAATAAAACTACATTGGATTTTCTCCACAAAATTGAATCCATGATAGTGCGACAATATTGTTGCAACCCAAAATTATGCATTTTGTTGCCAGTTAACGTGGAAAATATGCATTTCTCTTGCATGAAAATTTGAAATAATTTCATATTGTTTTCTTTTTTATTCAAAACAATAGACACAAATATACAAACTGTTTTGAAAGAACAGGGCAGGGGTAGGCAGAGAAATTCAAAACAATTTGTGATTGTATGTATCATTATTGTAAGTCTTCTTTTGTTTCTCTATAAACAGAGATTATTATAATTATAATTTGTTAGCTTTAATTTTTTAATTTAAATTTTCTGTTTTCAAAATAACTTTGATGGTAAATTTAATATTTTGATCAGACAATTCGGAGCCATATTTGCACAATTATTTCAATTATGATTATGTTTTTCAAAAATATGTAAGTTGAAATTTTCTACAATTTTGATGAAGTTTGTTTTTAATAATTTCAAACATAACATGCTAACCATCTAAGTTAACAGACATACGCAGATACTCGTAGAATTTAACGCTGATCAAAAACTCATGAACTACAAACGGAATGACAAACATCGCATCCTGTTGTTTTTCCCAATATTGACCAATATTGATTTCAAATACGCAGTAAGATATATTTATGTGCTCCAATATTTCTTACGGTGTATTCGTAAAAGTATCAGACAGCACCTTCCGCATCGACTGCTCGAACAAAACTTAATATTTTCCCAAAATTCTGTCAAAATTTAAAACAATTTATTTTTTGCGAACACACATATATCCAATGAAACTCTTTGCCTTGGAATAAGGCAGCAAAATAAAAATTTGTTAGGTGGTTGCTTTGTTCTACTTTTTATAATTGTGCCATGGTTAAAATCACGGTATAATAAGAAGATATGGTGGAGCTACCAGCTGATTTCGATTTTTTCTGGGTGTGTCCGACGCCTGGTAATTTAGTGTTTAATATATATATTAAACACTATAATATATGCAATCATATTTCTTCAATTCTTTAAAAATTAACAACATCTCATTGGCAAAGTATATATTTATAAATATATTGTACAAACACAAATCAGAGATGGGAATCTTTTTTCTATGTCGGGAAATTTGACAAGGTAAATTACAGAAAATCCTGAGATGGCTTTTCTTTCAATTGCATGGCAAACTCATAGTAAAATCAAGAAGGTAAAGTCATGTAAACATATGTTTTTTTTTTATTTTTTATTGGTACAATGATATCAAGGTAGGGCTATGATACCATATGGTTTAAATTTTTTTTGTTTTCTTGGCTTAATATGTCATCTTTATTTGCTTATGTATGTGTTTTCTTTTCAATAACAAAAAAATTGTTCAGAAAATATTCAAATTCGGGTGTTTTCAAAATGTTTATTTCAACATATGCATCGACAAAATCTAGAGTTTTTGTAGCGAAATAATCCTTTAGAGATATATAGTACTTGATTTTGAAAAGAAGTGTTGACCTTTCATTCTTTCATTCATTCAATTATTTATTCAAAACAAATGCAACAAGTTGTTTGATTATTTATGTTTTGATACTAATTCTGACATTACAAGCCAAACAGGTAGACCCCTATACTTGAAATTTTTTCAAAGTTGGCCTACCTTCTCTTCATTGTACCATGCTAATTACGAAATTGGCGAATTTGCAAACATTGATTCAGGGTGCTCTCTGATAATAAATGTCCACTCTCCGAAAAATATAAAAAATGGACAAAATTGAACATCTTTGGCATAAAGAGCCTTAACACATATTCCATCGTAAAGAAAAAAGAGTTTGCTATGAATATAGGATCCCTTAAGCAAATACAATTTGCTAAAGATTATAATCAATATTGCTCCATCGAACTTCAGAGCGTCGGTTGCTGATCTTTGCTCGACAACTTTATTTTATCAGCTACTTTACTGCTCTCGCTTTAGTGCTCTTACTACTGATTCCTTTCATTTTGAAAAATCTAAAAAAGATTTTGATATTATGTAGGATAGACAAAATAAAGAGTTCTTCGAAAAATTCGTATGCCGTACGTACTTAAATGCCAATTTAGGACTATTTGAATTTATGTATGAGAATAAATTCGTAGAATTGGGTACATTTTTTTATAGATTGTAGGAAAATATATTGAGTAGGAAAAGAGTTATAAATTTCGGTAATAATATCACTGCGAACTTTATGCAATTTAGTCATATTTTATAAATGAAAAAAAAAAAAATACAAAGCTACATAATCTATGCACCCGTTTTTAGAAAATCATTAGATAGAAAAGTACCAGTTTGTATACTCGTATTATATTTATTTATAATTTGAATAGTGGTCTTTTATTTAACACTTTTCACATTCCAAAGCCACTTAATATAAATTCCTATTTTCGAATACGAAGTAGCGGGCATTTGCTAGTTTTAGATAAACGCACATGAAGCATGGACTCCTGGCGTTAAGGCAAGATTTAGACCTGTGGAATTTACCAGAATTTAATTTCAAATGATTTTGTAGAATATTTTGACTTGATCTTTATTGTTATGACATGGAAAATTCAAGCAAATACTACTTGAATAACTCATAGTTGTCTGTTGAGGCCTATTGTATTCTCAGTAATCCACTTATTTGCTTGCTCCAACAACCCGGGCACAGCTTGGAACTCGGAAATTGAGGACCCAGTTACCCCAATGCGAACAAATCCATTCTCTTCTTTATTCAAAACGTGAGCGTCTATCATCTCTTGACCGTTTACAGAAGTGTTTAAACGGAAATTTGATATATTAAGATGCTTCAAGAGTGCTTTCATTTTGGGCTCTTCAACTTCGCAGCCCAAAAAATTAGCAATGTGTTCAATTGAGCTTTGAAGGTCGGAAGCCATATCTTCATACTGAAGATAGAGAAAGTTCTTGGTCTTTCTGAATGTCATTGCTTCTCGAACGTGGCTAAAATACGGCATCCACGGATCTAAAACAAGTGAGAGTTTTTACAAAAAAAGTTTATTTATACTCCTGAAAACACGTACTTAGCCCTTCCTGAAAGTAATTCCAATAATGTTTAAAATCTCCGATATATCCTTGGGTGCGGTACAAACGATTCAAATAGTAATATGAAACTGCAACATCCATCGGATTGCGGGCAACATAAATAATCTGAAAGGGTGAGTGAGTGGGTGAATTAGGAATGATACTCAATTAAACAAAATACTTTGCACTTCTGCTCCATCACACTTGGTGGCAACAACGACAACGGAAAATGTGTCTTAATAAATCTTCGTTTCGTTTTTGGAATCTCAGACAACAATTTATAACCGGGTGTCGATATTAGCTCAACAAATTCCTGTTGTTCTTTGCTACAGGCGTTCTCTTTAAGAATTTGTTTCTTGATCTCGGGATGTAGAAACAAATGGAACCTGTGAAAATTTGCAATAATCTCATTGCTCGCAGATGTAAACGTCCTACAACTTACTCAAAAAATGGAAAACGTTCCGTCAACTTTATTTCTTTGGCTGTTCTAAAATCCATATTGTTGCAAAGCAACCAAACCAGCTCCTGCGTTAATGTCGTTCCAGACCTGGGAAATGTTACAATCCACACATCGTCCGCTCTGGCTTGAAAATTGTAATAGTTTTCAGCTTCATACTTATATTTGTATGGAAAGAAATATTTTTCGGGTCCCACTTGAACAAATCCGGTTTTCTCGCCTTCAAACGTACAAAAGTTCCAAACGAATTTTAATTTTTAATTTGAGTTAAGGATGTACTACCTTGAAAGTATTGAAGCAGTTCCTTATTCTTCTCTGCATCGAGTAAATTAATTTCATATGGAAATTTGTGATTCCCTGGTGTTTCTGTCATTGCGGCTTAATTAATACTGAAGCTACAATTCGGATGAAACTCTTCTAGTTGCACTGTCGACAGTTTTTCCACTTTTTCTAGTGGTCAATGTTAGTTGAGTGTACGGTAGTATTTATGGCCCCGTTCATACACAGACAACTGCATACATGTGTTTGTTTTATTTCTAGTCTGCAACCAGTTTTCGCAAACTTTCTTTTTGTTATATGAAGATGTTGTGGAAAAAACTAGATTTTTATGATGATTTTGGCGGTATTTTTCGTTATGTTGGATGGTATACTGACATTGCCATTCCGTTTGCAATGTTTTGAAATTTTGGTCGGAAACAAAGAGTATAGATATCTAAGTCAATTCAACAATGACCGCCCGTCTGCTGAAATCAAAGTCACACTGTAATAAGATAAGTAAGTTTTGTCATAGGCTGTACCGTTCCCGGACTATAAATGCGAAATTTTAAACAATTTCTGTATATAATGTCGATTAAATCATCAAAATGCCCAAGATCGGGATGTACCGTTATACCGTTCCCGGACTATAAATGCGAAATTTTAAACAATTTCTGTATATAATGTCGATTAAATCATCAAAATGCCGAATATCGGGATGCACCGTTATATGAGACGAAGACGTGAGCCTGCATATGCAATTTTTTGTCGTCGGCAGTAGTAACCATTAAGATCTTCAAATACGAAATTTAAAACAATTTCGGTGTATAATGTCGCTAAATTAATAGAAATACCCAATATCTGCCGGTACCGTTATGTGGGGCACAAACTTTTGCGACAATAAATCCATTACATAGTAATTCCCATATTGCGATACCACTTTATATTTGGTACGGCATGAATGTAAACGTTTTAACTGCAATATCCGATTTTTCCTTTATGATATCGAAAAAATAGTAAATTCTTTCAGGTTCTGGATCAGAGTAACCATGAGTCGACTTATCGTCGGTGTCATGTTTAAGTGTTCCATTCGGAACTTGCCTGTTAAAAAAAGGCATTTCGAAGTTTAGCGGACTTCTCACAAATTGTTACATTTTTGCGCAAATACCATTTTTCAAATTGAAATATGTATTTTAAAATTTTAATTAAATCGTTTAGGGAAGCAAGCACATGTAGGGGCACCTGTAAATACATTTATTCATTTGATTGTTTAATTTTAACACCCCCAAAACCTTGGTTTGGACAGATCTGTTGAATTTTAACATATATTTGAGTGTAAACTAACATGTCATGTTACATCGATTCTTAACAGGTTTTATTACTTTTCTTTGTGAGAGATTCTATTTATAGAATCGAACTCTAGCCAGCATAACCACACTTCACCGCATAGTGTAGTTGGTTTACGTGTTCGTCTAGCCATCCAAATCTCAACACTCTTCGTAGCCCAGAGTATGTGTTGTCGGCTAACAAACATGACGGCCCCGGTTCGTCTCCCAGAACAGGTCAATTTATTTTTTTTATTTTTTTTATATGATTAAATAATCCACCCCTAATGGTTGGGATCGTTGGTTTTGGTTGTAGCTCATGTGGAAGATATAAATTATACATAAATACAGTCCGATCTATTCTGCGTGATTACAGGCTTAACTCCTATTTACATCGCCCGAAAATTTATCTAACCTGTTAAAATTTCCCCGCTCTAACAGGTTGAAGTGAAAGGCATAATTCCGTTCACTACCTTTCTCTTTTTTTTCTCGGGTTGCTCACACATGCGCACAAAGTTGGTAGATGGTGTAGTGTAGTTCAATTGTATACATTTTCATAAGGAAGCCATTTTTCTTTAAAATTTTAAGATGGTATTGGAAATTCAGCCATGTACCCAGCAAAATAGGCGAGGTTACAAAAGGAGGTTAAGAAGTATACATGCTGGTCATTTTGTTATAACCTAGCAACTGTCTGCATCAACGTCACACATCTTTCCCAGATTTCAAAATTAAAATTGTGGATTTTGGTGAAAAAGGTTATATCCTTCGATTGGTCTCAATGAGATTATTAAAAATCAAATTTGACATTGATTAACGAAAAAATAAGAAGTTGTGGTTTTCTCTGGAGTGTTAAATTTTTTCTCCTTATCAACTGTCACCACTTTTCCTGGGTTCAAGAATTTGTTTAATTGCTTTTTGCTGCTTGCTCAGTTTGGATACGTCATTGATGACTTTGGAGTTTTAACTCTTGCCATTTCCAAATGATCTTCTCTCTAACTGTGTTGGTAAGTCCCCATCATTTACCTAAAACCTTTGCAATATACGAGTGCTAATTTTCGATTGTCACTTCTTGTTACATGCGTTTCTAGAATGCTCTTGTCCCTAAGTCAACATCACTGCGCCTCTTTGCCTACCAGTTTCTGCGCTCAGGAGGAGCCACAGTGCGCTAGCAGTGATCAGTGTTTTGCAGAACTCGTGTAAAGCGGTCGCTGGTAGTCGAAGCCCAAGAAAAAATTTGATAAAAGCAAGTTTAATATTCAAGGCACAGGGCATGCGAATCTTTAAAGAAAATTGTTCATATTAAATTTGATAACGCGTACCCAAAATAAGGCGTAAAATCTATAATTACTATTCAATTTAATATTTACTAAAAAAAGTCCGGACTTAGTTTCATATCTATATATGTGTGTAAATTTTATTGGCTACCTGGTGTGAGAAAAAAAATTGTCTTTATTATTTTTATTGATCGTGGTTGCATAGAAAAGTTCAGACCTAGAGACAACTTAAAAAAAAAGAGCAAAAGTTGGTAACGATCATTATCCTATAGTGCAGATATTATAGTAAAACCATTGAAAAGTAAACAATATCGGTCTAAGATCATATTTAATGATGTAAAACATTGATAAATGGTGTAAATTTGCATGAGATTATAATTTGTTGTGAAATTTTGATTGGTTGGAGCTTGCTGTGGATATTTTAGCCATTCACCCCCCCTCGAAAGGCCTTTCAACGTGGGAGCAGCGCCAATAAAACAAGTAAGTGGTCAATCTCTTATATCCATAATAAACAGACACAAATGGTTCATGTACTTTTGAGAGTAAGCGAGTGTCCCGTTATTACTCTCTGAATTTGCTATTGTTGTTAAGTTGCCAGAAATTTTAATAAAATATTTTAAATTCTTTAAAGTATTTTGCAACTTTTAACTAGACCAGTATTTAGAGAAGAGCTAAACCAGTATTTAGGTGATATACTGGCTGCTATTTGTGTTTGTTTGATTCCTCTGTAAATTTACACGACTGCTATGATACTGGTTGATAGAGGCAATGTTAATGGCTGTAATAACAGAATGCATGCTGTAAATCGTATGTTCTCTGTTAATGGAAAATTAAAGTTTGAGAAGTACTATTTTTTTACAGTTGTCAATTGTTTAACTAAAAGTTCGTTTGGTTTTTACTAAATGATTAAAACATTCTTATTAATTATGTTCTTTTATTAGCCTACACAACCAGAATCATTTTTATATCATTTATTTTACATTTAATATGATTTCATTATTATATACCGATATATATTTCACTCAAATGGCTGTCTCTTCGTTTTAAGAGGTCAATGTACCATCAGCTGATCAAATGATCATTATCATGATCGCACATTCACACATGAATATTACTTTCTTTTTTTCAAGTTGCTCGTCTGATTTATTAATAAAATATTTTTTTCCCTTCCGCAAATCCTCATTTTATAGTTACCCTCATTAAAACGATTATTAAAGGGTTTTTAATTAATTTCATGTACAGAACACCATGGCGCCATTAAAATTAAATGTTGAAAAATTTTTTTATTTAAATTGTTATGCCTATTTATATTAGTCTAAGATTTTCTATTAAGCCTTTATAGTTTGCAAACATTATAATTTCGATTCGGTTAAGAATTGTAGTATTTTCATATCGTTATATTTACAAACCATTCGTTAATGTTGCAGTTAAATATTACATTATATGTTATTATTTTCTTCCGGTCATAGAACAGGACCATAGTTGGTACTATTTTAGTTGATAATTTATAGATCTAGAATGGAAATTATTTTGAATAAAAATGTTGATTTTGTTATCATGAAGTAAATGAATCCTTAAAGTTTGATTTGTAAGGAGTTCGGAGTAGTTAGGTAGGATACAGAAATGGGTTTACTATTGCTATTTTGGTTGGTCTTTGGGATTGATGGTAAACAGGTAGGGAGGGCATACATGTAGTTGACACCTTTGCATGTGCTAAACCAGCTGCGAGAAAAATGTATTGATCTTTACTTACTCTTTCTATGACTATGGGTATATGGTTTCTTCTCCTTCGTTTCAAATGTCTGTCAGTTAACTTGTTTCATCTGATATGCACGCATAAAAATATTTAAAGCTAGTAGTTTGCTAAAAAGGTTGATGAACAGTGGCAAGATCCCCCCCGAAAAGGCGAGCAATAAGGCCGGTGTAAACAATGCGTGTAGCCAACTGTTTCATCCTAGAACACCCTTTTACACTTTTATACACACAGGCACACTACAGTTGTTGGCGCCCAACGTGGGGCCCGAGTGGAAGAAATTTAACTTTAATTTGGAAAAGTGTAGCTTTTCTACGAAACAATGCATTTCCACTTAGCTCCAGATTTTATTTGTATATTCTTTCATCTAGCTTTTCATCATCTGTCCTTTTTCTTCATTGTGTTTTCTTTGTTTCCCTTACTATTAGGATAACGAAATCTTTGGAGTTTTTATGTTTTGAATGCGGAAATGCTGGTTACATAAAACCAAGATCGACGTTTTCCTGCGCTATCCTTGTTGTCTGGTGGGAGTTGTTTTAAAAATTTTCAGGTCGAATGAACACAGTCCTGGATTCTCTTCTAGCACTGGCTTCGTCCTTGATGATTATATAAAAACTTTCATTTCTATTTTTTCATTATTTGGATTTTATAAATATTATAGATGATGTTTATAACCATAGTGAAAGTATATCCAGGGTCTCCTTTTTTTTTTTTTTTCCTTACCTTGCCTTTTTTTTAATTTTTCTTTCTTCATTTTTCTTATCGCTTGCTGTGCTTTAAGTTTTTATCCTACCTTTCCCGAACACCGAACAATTCGAACTTTTTCTTTTATGATTTTCCAAGTTTTTGACATAATTTTTTTATTTATATTTTTCCTGTTGTTATTGTAATTTGAATAATGCCTCTTGAGAGAAGCTTTGAAAATTTATCAGCTGTGGGAGCAGCTGATGTTCAGAACGCTCCTATCTGCAAAATTTGCAGTTCTCCTATACAGGACCCTTCGGGTTTATTTGAGACGGTTTGCAGACACTCGTTTCACAGAATATGTATAAATAACTATGTAAAAACACATTCCGATTGTCCCGTATGTGGTATAAAGATTTTAAAGGATAGTAAGGCTACTAATCCTTCAAATTCACAAAAATCAACAACATCAATTATAACCAGATCGTCCTCTAAAGCAAGGAATTATGATGCCAACAGAAC